TAGATTACATCAAGAGTTAATGTAGATAAGGAAACGCGCGATTTGATAGACATGTGATTAAAAAAAAGAGAAAGTATGGATAATTTCATGTATACTTTAACACATACCTGTAAGAAAGTTCTTCGCGTTAAAGGATTCATTAATCAAGAGGAATTAAGAGATAATAATACTGAAAATAATTCAAAATCCATAAAAATTGTTATCTGAACTTTGTGAATACATAATCAGGACATTCACATTGTCTTAAAAAGTTTTTTCTAATTAAGCAATTAAAAAGAATTATATTAATAAGACAAAAGGAATTAAAGTATATTGCCCTTTCAAAGAAATTATAATAGTTTACATCAAACATTGCAATTGTAACATTATCCTAAATAACAACAAATAATAATGTAATCTTCTTACGGACTCTCCCAAATTCAACAACAAAAAACTTCAACACCAGGGCGAATGAGAGTCAGCGTGGTAATTAATACGCAATCTTAATTCTTCAATCCAAAAATTGAATCTATATTCCAAAAATAGATACGTTTCAGTTCACTTTGGAACCATCTTCAGCCAAACAAATTTAAAATATCAATCCCTTCGTGTCAAGGAAAAATCACCATCAGATTAGCAGATTTGATGTTCTAATCTATTCAAAGCATTAAAATTATCTTATAAATATTTCTATTGAACAAGTTTCAAATTACCAATAAAACTGGTGACTCACCCCAAGACATAGAAAGAATTCGTCTCAACATTGGATCAACTAATTACCATTAATGTTCACTAAAAAGTATCAAGTTAAAAAACGCATGTTGATCGCAGCTCGAAATTATCCTAAATAATTCGATGATCTGGGAAGTACCGTTAACGAAGCACAGCGATAAATCTACGAAATCTGAGGAAGAGGCTGAAAATCCAATACGAATAGCGTAATTTAGAACTTTCATAAATAGTCAAGACCGACTTGCCGAGTGCCACAGGTAGAAATCGATAACGTCCGTGGAGCAGCGCCGTCTTGCGCAACCCGTCGTCGGCCATTGAATTATTCATTCATTAATTTTCGGTAGCTGTCCGCGCCAGAGAATCAGCGAGTGAACGAGCGAACGACACTCGCCTGTCTCCTCTTCGTACAGAGTCACGAACCGTTTGTCGGCCGCACACGGATGACACAGTGCGGAGCCTGCCGGTAATGTTTTCATCAGCATTTCGGGAATGGCGGACCGTATTTTAAGGTAATAATTTTCGCCGCGGTCGATGGCCCGGTCCTCCGCGCGGCGCGACGCGGCGCGGCGTCGAAACGGGGACATCGGCCCTTTTGATCGTGCTCGAAGGGGCCCGTCGAGGGCCACGCCACGGGGCCATTATCGACCTTTAAGGACCTTGCTGCGACTCGTGGAGACCGGTCACCATAACCGCACGTATAACCGCTCGCTACACCGGGAGGAGGACCTCCCGGAGGTGTTATAGGAGTCCCCGAGCGCGGTCGAATGTATTTTTCCGTCGACGTTACCGTCCTTGGACGTTACGTCCCGCTCTTACACCTCAACGGTGTTTATTAAATAAGCCCGACTCGTCATCTCGGATTTGATCATCCCGTCCGAATTAGAATCTCATTGCGGAGATAAGGACAGAAAGACGGAGAAGATCCTGTTGAAATTTCAATATATTAGACATTTCCGCGTATTAAAACGAATATCTGCCTCTGTTTTAAGGCAATTTCAACCAAATTTCAATTAACTTATCAAGCAATGTTTACGATAATTATTAATATGGATAGAATTAATTTTTTTGTTGTTTAATATATGAAAGAGACGATTGGATTAGAAACAACGAATTGTACAGAGTTAGGAATTTTAGTAATTAATCGTCGACTAAATTAATCGAAGGTTAGTCAAAATTACAGTCTTTATAGTTGAATATTGTGACCATCGCATCGGTTTAATGATGCCTCTACATATTACATTAGTTTCTACATTATATTGCGCAGTTTAATAACTACAGTTTAATAACGTTTAATTCGCGTTTAATTAATCTATCACTCGATTATCCGATTCTAATTGAACAAATCGCGCAGTTTCCATCGCGATCGCGCGTTGACGAGCGGAAAGACGCAGGAATCGCGCGTCCTGCAATCGCGACGCTTTTTTTCTATCGCGTCGATTGGCTGATGAATTTTTCATCGGGTCGGAAGATGCAAAGTAGCTGCCTCGTAAAGTATACAACACGTTCGTTATACATTCGTATACGCTCGTCGTATATACGTATCAGAGGCGCTCCTCCTCCACCGACCCCCGGACCATATATATATACCGTGTTACGGCGCGATTCCCGCCGGTCACAAAGGGGATCGTTCATCACTTCCAGAAGTCACGAAAGAAGCGAGTACCTCTTCCTCTTCGCGGGACCGTGTCCGGGAACGCGGCGATTTTGTTTGCAAACGATCTGCGCGGCTTGGCTACCGCAGAAAACTGTCGCCGCGAAATTGAATTCGCCACAGCGCGGTGCGGCGAACTCGCCATTTTTCGCCTTGACTAATCGATACGGTGATATCATAGTTCGCCACCCACGTGGAACGGCAAGGACCGTAGGATGCGACAGATCTATGGCGGCGTGGCGTCGCGAATAATGAAGACCGGTTGCGGAGATGTCGATTTTTTTTTAGAGTTATAAGCGACTGAGAAATCTATAATTATATTTTGCTACGATCTACCGTAAGATAATTTGCGTAGCGCTGTTTTAATCGGTTTAAATTAAAGTTTAAATTGAGCCTTAAACACAAATTATGGTGTTAATAACGACAACATTAATGATGCTATTAATAATGACATTGATAATAATTTACAATCGAATACGAAATACACATAATAAAGAACAGTGATCATTCCTGACAGTGTTACGATGCGCGTTACGAATGTGTCATTTATTTTATCAATTTATATAAAATTAGAAATGTACGAAAGAAAGAATTTTTGAAAGAAATATCCACAAATGTTACGGAATTGCTTGCGATATATCGAGTTATTATTCTTTCGCTAATTTTACAGCGCGAGATAGGCGCAGGAATGAAGTAACTGCCGAAAACGACGTTGAAAGCAATTTGCTCTACGGGTGTCTGAATTAATCACTATGCTGCCGAGCCGTTTAAATCGCTTCTATGCGCGACGATCATTAATTCAAATCACTAGGTTGAACTACTTTTCCTTCCGGTGAACTTCCGACAACACGAGAGAAGCTTAAGAACCTCCCGAATGTGATTCGACTTCTAACTTAAAGCAAGCTGTTGGTAATCCGCATTTCGAAAATTCCCTCGTGCTCGCGTTTTCGACGAATCGTGTCGCATGTAAAATTCACCGGAGACTCGTTGACGGGCACTCATGTTTTTCTGAGATACGCAAAAACTAAAACACGCGTCATGCAGCAAGTTTACAAGTTTCCGATGCTCACTTATACACAACAGCACTATTTGTGCATCGTCGGACAAAAATAGTCTATTTTTAACCTGGCGTTAGTAAAATAATGTTTATTAAAACCTAGCTAATTTAAGAACTGAAATCAATGGAAAATTTTTAGAATACTTTAAACTAAGTTTGGTCCTCGGACTAAATTATATCAATAAAGTTGCTGTGATTCAAAAGTTATCAAAACAATTTTTTTTTTATTATAATAACAAAACAATTGTGAAAATAATACTATGTTTATAATACCTGAGGTTTGTCATTCCTCGCCTTAGTAACGCTGGGTTAAGATCAGGCCGAGCGAAACGGCGCCCGCGTTGTTCGACAAAAAAAAAACGCCAAGGTCTAATACTTTGTGAGAGATCCCTTTTTCTCAAATCGCCGATCCGTTGCTCAATCACGCAAAAACACTGATCTTTCTCGTGTGATTCGTCGTCGATAGATCATAAACGGGAAGACGACTAAATCATCGGAAAAGGTGCCGAAGGTATTCACCGCTCAATAACGTGAACTTTCATGATTCGAGAGAGCCAATAAAAAAAGACGTGGGGAAATTTGAAATTTTTATCATTGTATCATAAATATTTATATATTATGTATGCTATGCATTTGATTATTGAGCTACAAATAAATTGGCGTTTTTAAGATATATTTCTGATCGTAGCAGTGGCATAGTGAAAAGATAGTCGCGTATAGTCGATCTATATTCGTTCTATATCAACGCATGTATATTCATCGATGCATATGTATGATGCAGATTGTGAACGTGAGTTCTAATTATATGTGGGGTATTAATACTTCCTCAGTAATAATAATTGTCTATTTATGCGGTAATGATTAATTAATTCCTAATAAATATCATTTATTCAGATTATTTTACAAGGAGTGTCGGTGTTTCGCAAATTTAAATGAGCATGTTCTTTAAATATAAAGATAACTCTATTAAGTGTCAATTAATTTTTTCTTCGCATAATGTTAACAATCTTCATTTATCTACATTAAGTATACTTTATCATGTTGCTATTTTAACTTTAAAAGTGAAACAAATTTTTTAAAAACGTAATTTTCAAGTTATTACCATGAATGAACTAAGCAAACATTGCTCCCTATCCAAAGTGAACTAACTTAATTTCATAAAAAAAAGTTGTCACAACTCAAAAGGGACGGTTTTAAAAAAAAAATCATCATAATTATCATAATTAAAAAGATATTTTTTAAGGATTATGAAACAAAAATGACAAAAATAATATTTGATCATACTAAGAATATAGATATTTTTTTTGCCGATACTATTTGATTAGTCAATAATTTTTTGTTAAATTGAAAAATAATTTTCCCCTCTTGTAGAAAATTTAATTTTAAGTGAAATAATAGAGCGATATATGAATAAATAATTTTATTAGAAAATTTGATGAATGTATTTAATTTGATAATTCCGATTATTAAGAATTTTTACTCTTTCTAAAGATAACTATAATTCTATGTATTAGCGACAAGTCAGCAGGATCTTTCCATGTGAGAATTGGAAACACACGCACACACAGCATACGTACGTACCTGAAGAAGTCGTTTCTGCAGAAGAGCTTCGCCTCCCTGGAGAAGCACTTGTCCTGCAACGCGGCTCTGCAGTCGAAACAGCGTACGCACTCGACGTGCCATGCACGGTCCAAAACGTTCAGCAGGTACTGATCCATTATCGGTTTCTCGCATCCTGCACATGACAGGAGCATCGCCAGACCGCGTCTCCCTGTAGAAATTAAAAGAGAACATATTACGCACCTCCGTCACTTCGGCCTCGAGATCTTACGACATGACGTTCAGCCCCGCCGTACAAGCTCGTTCGATATCGCCCTCTTTTTAAACTACCTACACCTTTTTTCTCTCTTTCTTTTTTTCCCTCGCCTTTCATGGATGAAACGCGCAAATCTTTTTGCGCTCCATCAAACGACTCGATCTGATACATCCAATTCGAAAATTTCAATTGAAATTTGATGAAATATTAACGCACGGTTATTAATGCATGCGCAGCGGACACAAACGTTATGTCATTGGTTCCGGGCAAAGCTTAAATTAATATTGGTTCTGCACGCAATGCTGAACATTTCGCTGTAAATATGCGCTACGCATTCCGCGTAACGCAACGCCGGCTTTACGCGATTTAATGTAATCGCGGATGCATCGCTGAGATTCAAATCGCCGAGCGTTTCAATTTATACTCGAGAATATTCTCTTTCCTTTCCGTTTCAAATAATACAGTGCTGCTGTAATCTAGTGTTGAAAGAATGAAATATTGTTAGCGATCGTAATATTAAATACTTCTTTCGCGATACGCGTATTTATTTATAAATACAAATTTCCAGCTTGTTCGAAACGCCCATCGAATAATTATCACAATGGAAACTCGATCGGAATTACGCGCAAAATTATCTGCAATGAGTCGAATTAAAATCACATGCAGATACGCAAAGTAAGCGCGCGTGGCGATGATTTGTTATAAAGAAAAAGGGAGGAAAAATGGCTTATTAATCGCATTGGGAGCATCGATCGAAATGTTTGGAAGCCTTTCGAGCGTGGCGCGCGTTTTATTTAGAAAGAAGATTAAGCGCTTTCATTGTAAGAGCGCGCGTGCATAACGAGGCGTGCATTGTGCTGGGCTTTTTTGTATATTCGACGGTTAAATCACCGTACGATCTGGTTGACACAACTGGACTGGTGTAAAAATACAACAATGCGACATAATCGCCGTACTAATCACGTAGAGCAGCAACTAATCCGATCCGTGGAAAAAAATCTTGTTTTTACGAGCTGATAAGATTGATAATGAAAATCGCGTGTTCGTTTCAAACTTCGCGAATTTTGTAATGAATCTGAAGCGGAGATTCCTTGAAGGAATCTTGACAGCATATCGCGCACTCTTTGCAAATTACATTAATCCTAAGTCTTACATTATTCTTCTCTCTTTTCGACGCTACCGAGAATTAAATGCAATTATGTTTTTTATCCGCAATCAGAATGTAAATCAAATATGTAATTTTTGAACAAAGAAAATATGCAATTTTTAAACAAAGGAAAAGATAGGTTTGGAAATTGCAGATGTTTGTGCGATAATAATTTAAATATGTAGTTTGTAAAACTACAACTACTTGCAAACAACAGAATGTTTAAATCGTTTCTTAATCTAGTAAACTTTGCGAAACGTAACCATAAATTTTTGAATCTGGATAATCACAGTTACAATTATCATGTAAATAGCAACATTCGCTATTGCAATATGAGTCTAATTTTTGTATCCAAAATTTAGATCTTTATAAAAACAATATTATTTTTATTATATGTAAATCGACATATGTTATATTTGTCCAAAAATGAAAGATAAATGAGAAAATTAAATTAAATTATATATATAAAATGTTGGTTTTTACAAGACATAATCTCACTTTATAAATATATTTGATTTAAATATTAAGCTTGTAAAATATATTTTTAGTTCAGTTACTGATAAATCGACAATAATTGAAAATTAAATAATCGACAATGGCCATCAATAAAAAAGTTCAATAAACAAGAATTTCGTTAAACAAGTCTTTAAATTCATCAAGGGAGAACGCATATTTTCTGTTGCACAATTCTGTATATACATTATTCATTGTTAATATAACAGTAACGATTAAACATATCAAAAATTACCGAGCGCTAACTGAGATTTCAATTACTACCACGCATCGCTCAGTAATTTAAGCACAGCAATTTGAACAATGTCAAATATCGCAGTTAAAATGTTTGCGTTACAAATGGTCAGCTGAAATTTCACCATTTTTCGGACTACAATTGCCTAGCTAATGACGTTCTCTTTAATTCGTAAGAAAGAAGATGTGGGAGGGGAAGGAGGAAAAATTTCGAACATCGCAACGGGGTACCGCAACCATAAATCTCGCGGCACTTAAACAAAAAGCTGCGGATTATTGCATCGATGAATTTAACGATCGGGCTTCGGCATTTATAGTTGCGCAATCTTTCATCTGGCTAATTTCGCGGTCGCTTTTTCGCGCGTCTTTCGCGACCGGGCCCTACAGCGAATAATTATAATTCATCGTTAATTAACATTCGCGAACAAGGCTGCTCTTTCGCCCTTTGCTCTCTTTCTCCCTTTCTCTCTCTCTTTCTCTAAATTTTTTCTCTTTTTTCTTCTTTCGCTCTGCCATTATTCCTTTTCCTTTTCTTCCCTCCGTTCACCCTCTCGCCGTTTTTATCGCCATCATTGAGACCCACGGAATTCACCCTCCTCTTCCTTTTTTTCCGCGGTTTCCGCCAATGGGCGGAGTCCCTCTGCCTGGCTGGCAGGGTTGTCAACCTAGCAACCCTCCTCCCACCCTTAAGATCTGACCTTGCGCATCTCATCCCTCTCGTGGAAGGGCGAGAAAGGCGAGGGTAGTAGAACGGCATCGACGCGTCCGTGAACGTTTGCAAGTTAACTTCAAAATCGTAAACTGTTCCACGTAATCGACTAGCATGCGCCCCGCTGCTAGTCCAAGCTACTTGACTTAATACAATAAAACCGACTCACCCGGTAGCATAAATTTTAACATTAACAAAAAAAGTTTCAAATCACTCACATATTTAACTGACAAATAATTTCATCATTATTGCTTTTGAAATGTCTTCTTTTCAAATTATTTCATATCAAAAATCCAAATCAATTACGAATTTTAGTAAAGAACACAAAACACGGGCTACACAAAATAAAAACTATTAAAATATCTTGATTAACATTATTTACAGAAATAACTTTACTGCGTATTCTTATATATACTTTAAATACTTTATAATATTCTAATACTTTATATACTTTATAATATTCTTTATACTTTATAATATTATATACTTTATAATATTCTTAATACTTTTTATAAAATAATTCATTCTATTCATTATATATGTAATCAGTATAAATATGAAATTTTAAACATTATATTATCAGTGGACATATATGACAGAGAAAATCGAGCTAGTGAATTTGACAATCAATTGTGCATAACGATTACATGAAATTCTAATATAGCGATTAAAGTTAAAATACGTTTCCAAATTAATGACTTATATTTAACATAAAGTTAGAGTTGATTTTTTAATTCATTATGATAATTATAACTATTTAAAGCTATTTTTACAAAAATAAATTACGGTCGTACGTACAAGCAGTAAATTATCTAATCGCGAAATCAATAACATAAATTAAGGTAACACGTTTAGGAACTAATCTCGCGTATAAATATCACGTAGAATTCCGATATTATCGCGTAACGACTTAAATGCTTGAATAACGGTCTTAAGGAATATAAGACAGATACATAGGGTGTTCACGTATCAATGTCGATTAAAGTAAATTGCTCAAACGATGTTATCCTCGATACAGGCATTAGAAAATACTTAAAATAATCCTCAATAATTTTCCTTTGATATGAAATGTTTTGAATTTCACGGAAATATGTGAGTTTACACCAAAAAATTTTTAAACACTAATAATCATAAAATTCTTTTCTCATTCTTACATTACTTCGAATATAAAAGTTTTTTCAGTTTTATCAAAATATTTAATCCTCCCGTCATCTAAGTATCGAAATGTTCGGATACTTATGCGGTCGCCTATCCCAGTTAGAGAAAACTAATCACTCACGATTTAAAACTTTGTGTATGATTTCTTTCAGTAGGAAAAAGTAGAGAGACAGGAAACCGTAGAAAGACCTAGTTAGTTGAATCGCATAAACCAGATTAGGATTAGCGGGACGTGAGACGAAAATCCTGTTGATCCAGCAACATCGGATTGCTTAATCCGATTTTTTCCGGCTGGACGTCATTGCTCATGTCATGCCGAATCTTGTTTTGTTTCGTCAGAGGAGACTTTATCAAAATGCCTTTATCATAAATGCCACAGCAATGACGAGAGAATAACAATGAAGAATAATGATGGAAAAAACCTGAAATCTTTAATATAATATAAACAGCTATCTTACATTAGAAAAACATTTTAAAAATTCTACTAAAAAAGACAGTTTATATCATTTATGTGAATATAAAATATAAAATAATAAAACTCAATATATTAAACAATATGATAGTCTAATGTTAATGAAAAGGATAACAAAAGGATTTTTAACTCGTAGAGGAATTCCCAGTTCTATTTATGTCTATGTAATTCTCTCACGTGCACTTAAAGATAAAATCTCTGGTGCGCTCTGACATAAACATAAATCAAATCTTCCGACTTTGGTCGACAGTATAATTTTTAACTGTTTTATCAGATCCGAAACTAACACTGAAGCACAGCCAGAAATCCGCAAATATACTTTCCAATGTAATTATGTTCGATACTCGCCTGTGTAAACCTATATTTATTTCTATATATAACATATACAAACATACACATACATAGTATATATTAAATAAAAAAAATATAGAAGTATGTATGTATATACATATATATATGTATACAAGAGCAACCCCACTCTCGTACATTTTGACATGCGCGTTTTCACCCCTGGACTTCGCAGTTGACGCGGAGGGGATGAAGCAGGAGAACGAATTTCAGCGAATTACCTTAATCAGTCTAAGATCGCCTACGTCAGGTGCACCTAGACCCGGCAAACTACCATCGCGATGAAAATTACTATTTTCCGAGAGCCACGCCAACGGCGAATCGATTTGCCGACTTTGGTGAATCGGAGAGACCGGTGGAAAAAAGAAAGAAAAAAAGAAAAAGAAATGGAGCACTTGAAAAATCTCAAGAAGATAGGACTTTAAAAGTTATCTCGTTAATTGTGTTTAATTACATGAGGCTAATTTCGAGAACATGCAAATTTTTTTGTGATCCATAATAAGAGACATATATTCTCGATGATTGTAAACTGAGTAATTTATACTTTTTCCCGTTTTTAAACAATGAATTAATTCGAATAAACTAATTAGTAGTGTTAAGAATTTATGCAATCCTATAAAAAATAATATACTTTGAAAAGAATTCTGGAAATATATAAGAAAATGGCGTAAACTTTATTTATATATAAAAAAATCATAAATTTAAACTTAATATTTTTAAATTTATTAACGGATAAATGCAATTTTTGTCAGCACTTTGCCTATGGTTGTATATATTCGTGTTTCTCATAAATTATTTTAAGATACATAAAAAAATAAATGATAATGAAGAAAATATCAATTTTTTGTGGAAACTTTTGTTAATTACAGAAGAAAAAATAATCAAATATTTTGTATAATTATACTCAATATCGTCTATTACGAAATATTCTTATATTTCAAATTGTAACTATGAATAATGTGTGATTGTCAAAATTTGTTACGAAAAATAATTAATCAAACTCATTTTTCGTCTTTCATGCAACAGCTTTGAACTAATTATGTCTGATCACACTTACTTTTACTACTAGATTATCCGAGTAATCCAAGCGGCTATTTAAAAATATAAATAAAACTTTGCGTGTCACATAAAATTATGCTCGCTTGCACATGTGACAGACCTCGCCAAGGCAGGATTTAAATACATTAACATACCTTAAAAAGTTTCCAGCCTCCCCCTATACCTTACGAATAACTTCGGCCAAGTCTATCGCGGCGTAAGCGTGTAAAGACACTTCCCCACGTCATTTCGACCCGCGCAATTGCGACGTAGCGAGTGGAAAAAAAGTGCGTCGCTCCTTCGATCGCAGCATAGATTTGCATGCATAACGCGGGATTGCATTCTCTATTGAGCGGTTCATTGACTCGTGATCTATTCGTGCGTGCAGCTTCTCACGCGTGACGTTTCTTTTGCAGAGAAAGAGAGAGAGAGAGAGAGAGAGATTCACGCCCTTCGCGAGATTGATCGAAATGGCACGGCGCTCCCGCGAACGCGGCAACGCGCGAAAATAAGCGGAAAAATCGTCCGCAAAAGTTTCGCATACAGCAACAGGTACTTTGGAGCAACGCCGCCTTACCAAGAACTCTCGTGAAGAAATCGACGATTTGCACAAAAAGACTAGTCTTAAACTATATTAATAGAGCACTGTGATTCTAAAAAATACAGTCAAACTTCTTGTTGAATCAAATAAAAAAATATTTCAACTTATAAATTTTAAAATATTAATATCCAAATGTAATGCGAGTTTTAAGTTGTATCTATGATAATTCAAAGTACACAGAAATATCATGAAAAATATAAGCAAATGTAGAGGATTAAATTAATGAAGCATAATAATAAGAAACGATATGTCACTCTTAATTAGTGTTGATTCCTTTCTTTTTTGAGGGAAAAATCTTGGAGACTCTCGGATCAATTGTCAACCCAGATGTTACGCGTTCCAAAGATACTTCGGCGTCAACAAGGTTGATCCCGTCTCACGCGTCGCGCGTATCTTGCACGGTTCTCTGGTACATTAGGCATGACATTGGTCCGACGTTACGCTATAGGGGATACGTTACTTCAGAATCCATCCTATTTTACGCAAGATGCGCTCTATTCGAATAAAAAGGTTGCGCGGCACGCCTGCATAAAATAACTATCGGAAATGCGATAAAATGAAATGCGAATTTCAAAAATGAATTTCACTCACGTTTTATATGCCTTACTCATTTTAGAACGCTTAACACGGTCTCTCATATAAAATTACAACAGATTTAGAGAATATATAAATATATGCCAAACGTTTGTCTAAAATATTCAACGAGAGAACACACCGTCGCACGAGTTTCCAACTGCCATATACCGGAAACTCTCTCGTGATTAATTTTAATTATATAATAAATATTTTAATAATTGACATTTCTAGAATGTGTTTTTGTAGATCCTAAGATCAACAACTATCTATTTTTTTTACAACAGAAAATCAGAGCATTTGGGACATTCCGTCGATACATAATCACGACGGGCAATTGTATGTCCAAAATTTTTCATAATATTTCAGAGCCGCGGCATATTCTCACGCGGTAATATATCATTAGCAACAGTGCGTCACTTACTCGCGAATAACTGACTTTGAAATCGAACTCCGATTTTAATTTCGCGTCAGAGCAACATGCGCGTTCTACGTACGTGAGTGACGTCGCGCGCGATGAGGACCATTTGCGGGGCCCGACGGTATAACGACTACTAGGTAAAGGACGTTCGCATGTTTCTTACCTATGTTACAAGCCTGGGTGACGGGCAGGGGTGCGCAGCAACGCCCGCCAAGGGCCGTGACCCTTATCCGGGGGGTACCAACCCCCCCGGGGCCCCCTCCCCCGCCCCCGGCGCCCCC